TATGAAACCGAAACTGGCGGTAACAGTTTGCTACCAAGGAAGATCTTTGCTACCAAGGAAGATCAAAACTAGAACTAGATGAAGGTTCTGTGTCTGTATGTTATCGGTTTGCTTCCTGAACTGGAAGCCTTGCACAATGAGTTTCCCAGCTGAGCTGTGATTTTTCTTCCTGTTTGTGTGGAAAGAAATAAGGAAACCCTTCCGCAGGACCCTTCCGCTTGGTGCTTGCTTCCGCAAGCGCAGGCTGACGTCTTGAGGAGGTTTTTTGCTGCGGCAAACCAAGGTTCAAACTCTAACAAAGGAGAAACAATGGAGATGTTGATGCACATTTACATAAAGCGCGCGAGGACCCAAGCAAGCACATCTGAAGAGGCTTATAGGTGGCTTGGGGCTTCGGTTTCCAATTCAACTTCCAAGTCCGATAACAACCCCTGGCCCCTGACTTCAGAAGAAGATGGAGCATAGGGCTGGACTTGTTCCGCGAAGTCTGCAAAGATCTCGTTTTTCCGACGTGCTGACAGCTTTGACCAAAGCTTGTGATGATCATCATGATCATGATAACGCTGAAATGCTATTCCTCTTATCCACATGACCTTCTTCGTGAACACGTAAACGGAAATCGCAAGAACCTGAGAACAAGAAGCCTGGTGGTGATGTTGATAAGGAGCATGCTTCTGACAAGGATGGGTCACTCTGAATCTTGCTGGCATCTCCCAGAACACAAGGCAATATCTTTGCCCATTATGCATCGGCGAAAAGCACAGATACAGCCACTTATGCAGGTTTATGGTCATACACAAGTTCTTGCTGGCGATCTGGGGACCTCGGCTTCGGGGCTTGTGGATCATGACTTTGGGTATAGAGTGTAGAGTTTGTTGACGTACGGTTTACGATTTGCATCATCATGTTTCCTTCTTCGGGCACATGTTATGTACATTCGACGCCAAACGCAAGATGTCTACGGCATGACATATTTTAAAGTGCAGCTTCCCCGGACCTTCCGCGGACCGATTGCTTCCGCAGAGCTTCCGCTTGCTTCCGTGCACACAGACCCGTGCAATTTTTTTTCGGCTGACACGATTCACATTTCCAGGCCTATTCATAATGAAAAACGCACGAAAAAACCACGGCTCAGCTGTTCTTCTTGCTAGGCTCTCGCAGGGATCAAGGCTGCACAAGGGCTTTCAGGATGAAAAAAACCGTTCATGGCCGTATAAATCTAGGAAAACTACCAAGTTTACGTAAGAGGGTCATGCGACGTGGCGAGTACGTATAAGTCGAGCTATAGTTAAGATAGCGCCGTTGCGGGTGCTCAACATTCTGAACATCCCCAGAACTTCCCAAAAGAGCGTTGAAGATATGAACCTCAAGAGTTTAATTCGGAGAACCCAGCACCAAATCGCTGGGAATTAAGGCTCGCACCTTCGCTTCGTCTGCAGCATCAAACTGGTTCTTCTGGCCTCCAATTACAACTCAGCGGCCTTTCTTTGCGTGTTTTCCGCTGTGTCCATAAACGCGCAAGCTTCACAGTATTAGTGTTGAGACACTGGAGGTTTGCATGCAGGGTTGGGACAGGCTCAAGGGTTAGACTGCTCAAGCACTACAATGTAGGACTCGCCAATGGCGAAAAGCATGTTCATCACTTCGGTTTCAGGGCCAGGTTCTGGTAGGTTTGCTGCTCTGGCTGAATCTGATGGGTTGTTGGAGCAACGTCTGCCGACAAAGCTATCGCCAACCGAAAGCTTTGGTGCTCCCCTGATGCTGCCCGGCTGCCAACCAGCTGCGGTGGCATCATCCCGCGTCGAATGAGCGCGTGCCATACGATTTTGCAGACCCAAGAAAGGCCCCATTTTAGAAACTCCCTCTCTCGCTCTTTCTCTCTCCTTCTCTCTCTCTCTCTCTCTCTCTCTCTCTCTCTCTCTATATATATATGTGTATATATATATTTATTTATTTATTTATTCATCGATTTATTTATTTATGTATTTGTTTATTTTCGAGCCCGGTACCTTTTGGGTCTATTTGGCTAAGTGTTACATTGCCCAAACCGAAAACAAAAAATGGACCGAGATTGATATAATGTTTAATATATAGAATTTCCATGTCTTGCAGAAGCTTAAGCTGGTAAACGGCATCCATACTCGAAGTGTCTATCTTATATGATATGCCCTTCTTTGCCTGTCATGTAACCGGAAATGGACATGTTAACAACAACATTCATCGATCGACTCACAAGCAGGCGGGCAGGTACAGTATGTAAGCTAACAGAATGATAATGGTCATTACGGTCATACACAGTATTCTTGGATGCTGCTGTTGTGATGTTGTGGTCGTGTGTGAAATATTACCTTCCTTCCGTGTCTATTGAGTGTTGTCTAGCGTCGTTTGCTGTATGTGTTGTTTGCAATACTTGTATGTGTTGTCTGCAATACTTGTACTTGCAGCTGTACAGATGCTATGTTTCTGAGTCTGTTGGTCATTGCCGTTCCTTTGAGTTAATCTTTATCGTTCCTTTGGCGCGAGTACATTGAGTACACTTCCAATCTTCCACCTGTAACATCAACTCCAAAACCCCCAGCCCGTTTACAAGCACTGTGACGTAACAACAGCGGCAAGCGACAACAGTAGCAACAACATCAGCAATGTCAGGCGCAACAAAAAACCGCAATCAGTACAATTAGCAGTGTTCTCCTCACAGTGTTCGTAACATTTGTGAGCAATATGAACAACCGTAGACATGAGCAAACAATGACCGCCAGTATCACAACAAACAGCTTATGGGCATGAATGCTGATCATGATGTATCACTAGTCAACATCAGATATACTACGTCCAGTTGTTTTCCTTGGCGCGTGTACGTTTCCCGCCTTTTCAGCACCAACCGCAACTCTGAGCCCCAGTCCGCTTTGCAAGCCCGGGGGTCAACAACGCCAACACCAACACCAACAACAACAACAGCAGCAGCAAAACCCGCAGACACAAATGGTTAATATGGTAAAGACGAGCACGAGCGGAGAGGGTTCGAAGATTGACAGGTTAGTTTGGTTTGGGGGAGGATGGGGACGTAGATCATAGAGATCAAAAGAAGTGGAGGGGGCATGATAATCCTCAATGGCAAGCAGCAAGCGGTGGTCCCCCTTCTCTGTTGGTGTTCATACTCTTGCAACCGTCTATTGCAAGCAGTACCCCCTTATCTGTTGTTGAAGCCTATGTTTAATGTCAGTCGGATGCTTTTGTTTCTGTCACGCCTCCGGTTGCATCCGCCGTTGCACGAGAAGGTCCTGCTGTTGAGGAGTGTTCACTGACAAACAAACCATGCCCATGCTGAAAATGTCAGTCGGAGTTTACTTTTCAAAAATTCAACCACATCAACAACAACAACAACAAAAAAAAAACAACAACAAAAACAACAACAAGAACAGAGTCATATGATGGAGGTAATGAAGATGCTGACGATGAAGATGACACAAGAAAACTTGAAGATGGAGCGGTTAGCCGTTGCTTGAAGGGAGGGTGGGGAGGTAGAACATAATGGCTGAATGAAGGGGAAGGGGTATGGTGATGAAGTAGATAGGGATATGATTCCAAGCAGCGTCCCCCTCATTGGACTTTGACTTTCATTCACCACAGCAGCAACAACAACAACAATAACTGCAATCCATGCGATTAGTAGCTCGTAGCAATTATGCTCACATCTTTGATACTATTAGTGTTTATACCAGAACTAGTAATAAGATAGTAATAAGTCACAGCTTGAAGCACAAGGAAGCAATATGAACAACGGGAGCCATGAACACAAGGTGCCATCAACATCACAGCACACCTTCTCATAGTAGGAACCCTGTTCATAATGTAGCACATACAACAATGGTGGGGAGAACACGGGTTTACAAAAAAAAAAAGCTTGTGTTTTCAATGTTGGCGGAGGACACGGGCTTACAACAACAACAACAACAGCAACAGCAAAAACTTGCGTTTCTGAGTGTGGAGAAGAACAAAGGTTTGAAAAAAGTTACAGTTTTAAGAAGTAAGCAGAACAACTAGGACACCAAGCAAAAGTAACTAGGATACCAGTTCATACCTCTTTCATAAACCTAAAAACTCTACATCTAAAATCTAAAAACCTGAAAACCCTAGACCCCAAACCTCTAAACCTTGAGCTCAAAACCCCGCAACCCCCGAAACCCCGAAACCCTAACCTAAAACCCCAAGCCTAAGACAAAAGCACCCAAGGGGCTTTTAGGCCTTAGGGCTTTAGGTGTTAAGGCTGTAGGTTTCCAAGGGTTTTAAGACAGACGTTAGTAGGGTTTTAGGTTTGGGTTTCTACTGCCTTTAAGATTTCAAGGTTTTAGCTTTTAGGGCTTTAGATTTGTAGGACGTTTAAGACTATTGGGTTTTGGATTTAGGGCTGTGTGTTTGCAGGGGTTTCAAGACCTTACTAGGGGTGTAGATTTTAGGGTTTTAGATTTGTATGGCAATGGGGTGTAAGACCTTAGGGGTTTAGGGCTGTAGGTTTGAAAGTGAGGTTTTAGTCGAAATCTAAGGTTAGACTTACAGTCCTCCTGAAAAAAAATAAGCCTTAAACTGATAAGCCCTACAACCCTAAAGCCTAAACCCTACATCGGCGCTGCTGGTGCCGCTGCGGCGGCAGCTGCCGCATTGCCCTGGCCTCCGCAGGCCAGGGGCCACTGTGGGTTTAGGGTTTAGTGTAAAACGACAAGACGAAACTCAAAACCCGGGACCCCAGACTAAGCCCCACTGAAGCTTACAACCGCCCCGAAGCCCCCGACCCTAACAAGACCTCCCCCCGTGGGGGAGGCTCACAAGCCTTTTCGCGAACCAAAGCAGCCTCGATTTGTGCAGTCATCCTTGCGCAGGGGCTAAGTCATCCTTGCAGCAGGGGCCATGCTAGACTTTGGGTTTCACACTGCTTAAAAGCTTCTTCCTCTTTCAAGAGGTCTGGCACACTCTCTTGACAAACGGCAGCCGAATACGATCACATATCGTTTCCCACCAGGAGTCAGGACTCTTCGGTTTGGTAAGGATGTCGGCTAACTGAAACTCTGTTGGTAGCCAGTAAAGCGGGATCCTGTCGAAGACCCTCTCGAAGTTGAAGGTTTGTCTGAGCGCCGCAAGATCGATTGCTAAACGCTTGTCAGACGGCACTCGCGGCACTCCTTCGCGATGCAAGTGATCAAAGAGCGACTTGCAATCGGTCAAACATCTAAGCTTTGAGCCAGCAAGATCTTCCACTCTCCGCAACTCCCCTGTGAGAACGGTCTCCACAAAGGATCTCACGTACTGCCCCATCTCGACCGCTTCTGAGCAAGCCGTCGTTTCAGCAGCGAACGTCGATCTGCACACGCGGGGATTCGCAGCGGATTTCCAGTCAATGATGCTAGCTTTTCCCCCTCCACTTCGAAACCCTTGGGCATCGGTCAAGGCAATGAGGATACCGATTTGGCTTGCGACCTTCGAGTTCTCTTTTCTAGCTTTCCGAGCTTTCTTGTCGAAGGGGCCCTCTGTCATGGTCCCGTTCTCATGATCTTCAGTGCTGAGAATGAAATGTTCCTCACCATCCAGGAGCGCGTTAGCCCGTGCCGAATCATGGTAGACCAGATACTCCAGCGATGAAAGATCCAGGGGACGAAGCCAAACTCCCTTTTCTCGGCGCTCCCAAGCCCTCTTAGCGATCTTATTGCTGAACTTGATGTCTTCAACCGTAGGAGTTTTCTGGAGCTGTTGTGCAAGGGAAACGCTACATTGAAGATCTGGCCGGGTCTGAGCACTGAGCCATGAAAGCGCTCCAATCAACGATTGATTGTCGATTCTTTGAGCTTCGGTAGCCTGTTCCAGCTCATCCTGTCCCCTAGCCACTTCGACTTCAAACAACCTGGAGCTAGCATAGGATTCCTGTCCGATGAACACACCCTCGTCGCTAACTCTTACATGAGAGCCGATGTACTCGAAGGTGTCATCCTCCCATCCATCAACCGGAAAAGCGCAAGACAGAGACCCCTTGATGCACCCGACTAGTCCTCGTGGTCCCACAACCAGCAACTCGTCCACGTGCACGCCGACATACGCTAAGGGTTTTCTGGACTCAGGGTCACATAGCTGAAAAAGGCAGGGGTCAAGTGGGCACTGGGAGTACTGAAGACTCTGTCCTTCGTACTCAATCTTGATGTCAATCATATCTCGTCGCAGTTTGCGCCACCATTTCCTTGGTGAGTCGGGTAAACCGAATATTCCTTTCTTCACTCTGAAGATCTGATCTGCTTGCACACCCCCTCTTGGTTGACGCAAGTACAATTCTCTCTCGAGAGGATCACCGTTCAAGAATGCTGCAGTGATGTCCCCGGCAGATGCCATCCAGTCTAACTTCTTGCGGCGGCTCGCCACAACCTGGAAGAGTGTGAGGATGGTCAAGCGCCCAATCGTTGGAAATCGGTTTCTAGGTGCGGGATATCCGGATCACGATGGCCAGACACCACTAGTCGGGCCTTATGCTTCCAAGGGACGCTTGCATCGATTTTCCGTCGACTCCAACGTTTATCCCGATAGGCAAACCTTGAAGAAAGGATGCGACTGCTGTGCACACGGTCCTTCACCCTAGCCGACTCTTCAATCGATAGCGGCTCGAGAGCATCATGATCATAATGTTCTTGGATCTGCTTCTGCTCGGCACCGCGGAAAGCTGCATGCTCTTCTGGAGGCACTAGTTTCCAAGGTATCTCCTTTTCTAATTGCTTTTCAAGAGCTCTTTCGGTTTGACAGCGCTTCAACATGATGACCGAATGTACTTTGCGCCCGGGTGTCTTTTGTCGAACACGTCTGGGAACAATGGGAGGAACTACATCACCGTCACGTTTGGCACCACGTGGTTCATCACTAGGTCCCTCAAACATGTCACTCAAGACTCCTTCCCCCGGCAAGCTTGGCTCATACTCCATGTCCTCGAAGTCATCGTCTGGGACAGGTGGAAGTTCTTGTGCGGGATCATCTGGTTCCTGCATCTCCTGATCTGATGGTTCAAAGGTTTCAGGATCGTCGGGATTAAGCTCTAGGAGCCTCTCAAGGTCATCTCGTGCTACACGGGTGGAGAACAGCTCACTCAGCTCTTCTGAAGTTGCCGGCCTCAAGTGTTCTTCAGCAACAAGATGACAGCGCCCCCCGAACGAGACTCACCAATTCCCACCTTCATGCCCAATGATGGTTCCAGGGCCTCTCCATTGACCACGTTTGGTGGCGACCTTCTCGATTCTGTAAAAGCACACGAGCTCACCGACAGCATAACCACCTCTCTTCACACGGGCCCTCTGGATCATCCCTTTACGGAATTTGGAGTCAACCTGCGTTCTAAAAAACGCCATGCGCGCCGAGGCCCGCTGCTAACCTCTCGTTGCCGACGTTGGTCACTCGACATGATCTCCAGGAATCTCTCCTCGTCGACCGCGGTGTCCAACTCCTCAGATGATTTAGGATCCTTGCCAAACACAGCTTGGGATGGGGATAACCCATGTCTACGGCGAAGCTCATTCTTTGCCGTGTTCACAGCTTGGACAGCCATGTACATGTCATCCTTGGTGATTGACTTCTCGTCAATGACCCTCTGAAGTATTTCCTGGCACCAATAACCATGACGTTCAATCACCCCTTGTTGCCAGTGAGCCTGCCCAGCCGAGGATCTCAACCGACACCCATGAAACTCTGCATACTTGGACACCCCAACCTGCAAGCCACTTTCGAGATCGGCCGAGATTGTACCTGGAGCACCGAACCCGTTTCCCCAAAGCTGTGTGAATTGTCTACAGAAATCTTCTCCCGAATGTCCCTCGAGTTCACAGACCAGGTGAAAGGTTGTGGCGTGGTCGATGACCGAGAGGAACTCATGTCTGACCGTTTCAGAACCGAAGACTGTGAAGACATCTATACTGACCACCTGATTCATGTCGAGCAATGAAGGCAAGACTCCCGGCCTCGCACTCCCTGTGGTTCCGGTCACATACATCACATCGCATCCCCTTGCAGGCTTTGATCACGGACTCGTCGGCTCCTGCAAACCTCAGGCGGCGGACAAGATCAACGATCTTCGGGTGTCCCAAGTTTTGGTGGAGCCTGGTCAATGCAGACTGCACATGCTTCGGGACGTTCTTTTCGAAGTGAATAGCTGAAGCTCCTAAGTGATCGTGCCGACCCTTTCCATCATCATGCGAAGACACCAGAATCTCCTGTCAGGGTTTGGTGCCATCCCCGGAGATCCGATCGGGTTCATGTAGAGTCTCACCTATCCGTAGCACCTGAACATCTCCTTGGAGTTCGATGGAATGTGGGTTCGTGTTGATCAGGTGTTTCATAGCATTGTGGTGCCACACTGGATCGTTCATGGATGCCTGGTGCACAGCTAAACCCCCACCTTCGAGCTGTTGGTAGATTGTGTTCATCACCGCATGGATGTGGTGAATGCTGTGCTCATCACCTCGGAACCACACGATGTTGGGCTTAAAGTTCTCGATCATACCGGGCACATTCAAAGCACAGTTTTCGTTAGTGTAATCCTCCCAGCTGACAGGTTCGTTAGTGTAATCCTCCCAGCTGACAGGTTCAACTGCATGGAAGCCAGCCTTGAGCACATCTAGAGTCAGGTCTCCCTCGCCAATCTCGAGCAAACAAGCCTGGTGAGGTGGTTTTCCATTGGGTATCGTTTCGGCGATGTAAGAAGATGCAGCAGCCAGGCCAAGAGTCAAAAGCGAACTTGCCCTGCGTGCCCCCTTCCTGTTCCGTCTGATGCTCTTCTTGGGTCTCACCTCATGCTCTCGCTCCCATGCATGCGTGCCCTCGCTCTTCCTAAGGGGAAACCCGCAACTCCTGAGCACATCTCTTTCGGGCCTGGAAAGCTCTGCAAGTCCGCGGGCGGTGTAGGCGATGATACTGCACCTAGTCCCAGACCACTGCTCAACTGCACGTTTCGTCTTCGGATGAAACTTCGTCATCTGGTGTCTCGTTTCAACCAAGTATCCGGAAGCCTTGGAGCCGTCCGAAAGGATAACCGCGTGCATCGAGTTATCGAGGGGAACCTTGGTAGTGTCACAATGCTCAAGCCAAAGGCGTCCGCGTTCAAAGTCCCCAAAAGAGATAGCCCAGTTAACACCAAGGTTGTGTGCATCTTTATGAGGACCAGCATGACAGTTGAAGCACAGCTGCACACTACTCCATTGTCCCTTTGCACCATGGAACTTCATGAACGCGTTGATATACTTCGTGGTGTACCAATGTTGATATGTGCTTTTGATCACCCCGTAGTGGTTCCCGTGGGAGTAGCCTCCGAATGCCACGCTGCAAGTACCCTCGTTGATCTTTCGTTTTCTCCTAGATTGACACTCAGTGCACACACTCGAAAGGAGGGACTCGCACGCCTCGAAGCTGAAGTCTTTTCTGCCGAGGAGTTCGCGCGCACGATGCTCATTGGTCTGCCCTGCGGTCTCAGCCGCGAAGTGAGGCACAGCCTCCTGGCATTCATAAAAGGTCTCCCCCGACGTGGTATCCTCACCACGTACCCCGGGAAGAACATGAAGAGGAGGAGAATCAACTTCAAACTCAATCTCACTCGAAGAAAAGTCCTCCCCAAAAGCATCCCCTTGCATGTGGTCACGACCTAGAGGTTGGAGCGATCCTTGAGCGTTGCCAGGCGTGTCATGAGTTCTTCTATCTCGGCTTTCGACTCCGGCGGTGGCTCCTGAAGCATACGGCTGCTTTCGCCCGTCTCCTGTGGGCGCTTCGGCCCCATCTTCGGTTTGAAGGTTTGCCACTTCCGTCAGAGCCGACCACTCCGACTCCCAGGCTGATCCCACTGATGCGTCGTGCGGGGGAAGCGGTACCGCGGGGTTGTTGTCCGGATTGTATCCCTTGGCCATCTTCTTGTCCAGCACCGTCTCTGCGTAGGTGCAAGGTTGACCAGGTCCTGGCAACAGCCGTCTCTCCCCTTGGCTGCCACCTCCATCACACACCACTCCAGGTACGTCGTCGGTACCTCTTGGAACAGTTTGCCAGAGTGGCGACCGAACATCACGACTGAGTTGCCCTTGCCGGCCGTTACCGTGTCCCGGATCAGATGCTGCATGTGCCCCTTCGCTGCCCCAGTCGGCGGAGTGATCCCCAACTTGATGCATTCCTCTGACAACTGGTCCTTTGTCATGGACGCAAGACCTTTCGGCACTGCCCCCGTGTCCGCGGACGTCTTCCTCTTGTCGGAGATCAATTGCCGCACCTCGCCCGTGCTCCAGGTAGGATGCGTCGTTATCCCCAGGCGAGTAGCCTCCGCTAGGAGCTGCACCTTGTTCATCTGCCAGAGGTTCTTCGGGGCATCGCTGGAAGAGCTCGCCATTGGAGACGAGAGGCACAGCTCGAGGCTGGGGAGTGGGAACACTAGCCGGGGCCCTGGAGAAGACAGTTCTACCAACCCATAGAACTGGATGCGGAGATTGTGGATCACTGCGCCATGTATCGTGGATCATAAGGAGCTCTCTCGAATCTTTACACGACACTGCTGATGTAATCCTGACCTCACCAATTGCACCGAGGAGCATTTTCTTGATGTGGTCCTGGTCAGTGTTCCAACGTCCAGGATCGAACAAACCTCGTCGAGGCACAACATGGATCCTTATGAATGCACTTGAAGTCTCAATCCAGAAGTCTTTCGTGATAGGAGTTCGCCCCCACCAATCGGAAAACAACTGAAGGTTGAAAGGAGTTGCACATAGAAGGTTGTGGATAGTGGGGTTGATCTTCTTCGGGTAGAACAGCCTCGGTGTCAAGGTCGCCAGAGGTCCTCGCGAGGGAAGCTTTGGTTCACTGATTCGATCTGGTTTGGGCTGTTCTGCACTCGCATCAAGGTTGGAGGTCATGAAGGCATCGTGCAGCACATATTGCCGCTCTGCAAAAGGAAGTAGCTTCACCTCATCGTCAGCCCACTCTTGGGGAGACGGGAACCTCGGGTTTTGCCCCGACCTTGGATTCACGACGATAGCCGGATGGCCGTTATCTTTGACAGCAAGAGCGATGTCACCGACATTGAGGTTTTTGAACTTGGCTGTATTCCCGGCTACGTCCTACACCATTCCGAGTCTGCTCAAAACTTTTCGGCTGAGGAGTAGGGACTTCTCCGTCAACAACTGCCGCCCTAACAGCAAACTGCTTCCCATCGATCTCAATCAGGACTGTAGCTGTGTAGTTAGCACAGAAAAGCTTTGAAGCGCCGAACCGGAAGTCGTCCGAAGTGTTCACAAACTGTGTCTGAATCCCGGCACCCCTCGCGAGCTTAAGGTAGGATTCAAGCCATCCCTGTCCCATGACTGACTTGCTGCAAGCGGTATCTGTGATGGCATACAGTTTGTTACCCCCGGAGTCACCGACCTCATAAGCAACCTGAACCACACCAGCCGCAGCTTCGCATGAGGAGGTCGTCACATGTGCCTGCTGGTCGACAGTGGTCGACACCCTTAGCGGCAGTCCCACGGTTACCAGAGCCCTGATTCTCTGATTTGTTGAGGGGACAAACGCTATCTCTATGCCAATGGCCACGTCTACCACATCCTGCACAATATGATCGGGCTTTAGCGTTTGCCAGCTGGTCATCGACATTGGTCTTGTGATGTGCGCTGCTAGGGCCCTTGTGGGAGTCTTTTAGGGCACTTGGCTCCACACCACGGGCCCTGGCGATCTCCCTGTATTTGGCTTTCGCCGTCTCCTGCGCCACATAGGCCTCATGAAGTGCTACAGCTTCTTCCTCGGCAAGCACCTGCTCATCTTCAACACGGATCCCCTCATCATCGTCATCGCCCTCATCAATCCCAGCCATGAAGGTAGCCCTCACACCCTTGCCCCCTTTTGCTGTGTCCTGCGGAGGTCCTTTGCGGGGCTGCCATGGAGGCCGGATAGATTTTTCATGTAGTACTGCTGCACACTGAAGCTTGGAAACATTCTACTCATTACCCACCGAAGCAAGCAAAGCCAGTTCCCCGGAGCTGCTCAGGCTGAGGGCGTTTAGATACGCCCATGCTTTGGCCACCTCTGGTAGCCGGCAGTCGATTTCGATGAGTCGTGAGTGGCTTCGATCAAAGGCTGAATTACACGCTCGGATTGTTTGTCCAGTCTGTCTTCTCAAGCGCTTAAAGAATGCAGTCAAGCTCTCAGCAATCTTTGATACTTCAACCTCCTGATATCTCTTTTGAATCCAGGATCTGAAGATTGAAAGTCCGTCGATGCCCGCCAAATCATCGACATGCAAGTCTTCAGACTCAACCCAAGCCCTCCCGGATAAATGCTGATACAGGAGAAGCGCCTGCTGATTCTTCGGTGTCCTGGTGACCTTACACCAAGCGTCAACTTGGCGAAGGTACGATCTTGCACTCACCCCAAGTTCCTCGCCAGTGCTCTGCGCGTCGAAACTCGGAACTGCCATCTTCTCGCTGAAGGAACCCTTATACCCAGAAGCCTCTTGTCCTGAATTCCAGCCCCCGGTAGAATTAGGTGCCCTCGTAGAAGAATCCTCAGTCCAGGGACCCGAAGAATTCCATGAAGCCCTCCGCTGATGATCTGCACGGCCGTTGTCACGGTCGTCATCGCCCTCGCGTCTGTATACCACTCGGCCCTTGAACCCCAAGACCAGTGATAGCGGTACCCATATGGCCTATACCATCCCTGCCAAGCCCAGCGATCTCCCCGGTTCCACCCCACCTTCGCCACGATCCTGTGCCCTTGGTTGCCAGCTGAAGCATTGGTGTTCTGCGGAGTGCTGTTCTCGGCTTCAGCTTCCGGCTGCGCCACGGCGCAAGGGTCCTACGGGACTTACAAAGACGCAGAAACCCTCAGAAGGACACCACAACACAAACTGA